AAAGATCAATGGAAAAAATATCCTTGGGTGAGGATGAAAAAAAAAAAGAGGTCTGCAGGGATAAGAGAAGGCAAGTGACAGAGCAAGAGCCGGGGGCAGAGTGTGGTCTGGGAGCACTGCAGGGGGTGAGGGGAGATGGGCTGGGAAGACTCATCCTTGGTCAAGTTCCTGTTCTGTTGTTGGTTCCCTGGGAGTGCAGGGCAAGGCAGGGGCTGGATGGTGGGTTGGCTGGAAGCTGGGGTTCTTGGGTCCTTTCCCCACTTGGCTATTTGGCTCCCTTCCCAGACTCAACTTGACTCCTCGTCTCAGTTGCTTAATTTGGCTCAACCTATGGGAGATACTACTTCCCCTCTGCCAAACGTGTAACTTTCATCCTTCTGTTGTAGGACTTGGGGACCAGTTCAGTCCCCTTTGCTGTCTGTCTGTCTGATGTCTGTGTGGTCCCCTCAGGATAATTGCTCTGGACAACTCTAACACCACTCAGACAGATTGGCTGGCCTCCTGGCCCGACATCTCCCACCACTGCATCAGGCCAAATTACTCATCGCCCCCAGCCCCGGGCTCTGGTGAAATCCGATTAGCAAGGAGAGAGCTGTGCTGAGCTGACAGCTCCTCCGATAATTGCTTCCCAAGTAAGCGATGCAAATCAGCCCATCCAGCCTGTCCTGGCTCCTCTCCTGGGAACCCAGGCATCCAGGTCCAGGAGAGGGAGAACAACTGAGTTGAGGAGACTTGGGAGCTGTCATCTACCTCCAGTTAAGTGGCCATCAATCCATAAAGTTCATCTGTGCTGCCTTGGGATTGGAGATGGGGGTGTTGAGGTGGTGAGGCTCGACCAGGAACCCCAGTAGTTCTGTATTTCTGTCTTAACTGAGAGAGTGTCACTTTCCTCCTCACTCTCTCCCCTCAGAGAAGAAGCCTATGTACCCATTTCCCAGTAAGGTAGATGAAGGCAGAAATACAGAAGACACAGAGATAGGGAGATGGCTGAATTGGTTAAGGAACAAATGAATGAATTCACAGCCTGGCTCTCCTGGTTTTCTAGTTCTACAAGGGAGGTGGGAATGGGATCTGTAGGACCTGCAGATAGCTTTCTCTATTTGTGAGTCCTCTCTTCACCAAGCTGGGGGAAAGACTTTGAGGGTTAAATCCCTACAGAGCTGGGATGGGGCTGTGATATCATATATCTTGGGAAGCCTGGGCGCCTGATCAAAGCTCAAGACTTTGTGCCTGTACTTGGATGCAGTGGTCCTTACCCCACACACCAGGGGCCTCTCTCTACTTCCCCAAATTAGGTCCTTTTACAGGCCTTTTTTTTTTTTTATCCTCACCCGAGGACATTTTTTTGTTTTTTTGTCCAGATAGAGTGGGAGGGAGGGAGGAGAGAGAGAGAGAGAGAGAGAGAGAGAGAGAGAGAGAAACATTGATGTAAAAGGAACTCATCGAGTGGCTGCCACCCGCACAACCCAACCAGGGCCGGGGACAAAGTGCAACCGAGGTACATGCCCTTAGTGGGAACCAAACCTGGGTCTCTCTGGACCACAGGCCGACGCTCTAACTGCTGAGTCAAACCAGCTAGGACTACAGGCTTTGTAATGCCTCTTCCTTAACACCTTTCTTATATCTTTATCTCAAATTCTTTCTTTGACTGTCATCCCGTCTCCTGCTGATCTTGGAGACCTTAAAAGTACTTTCCTTGTGGTCCTGAACTTCCAGTCCCCAACCCAAGCCCATATGGGTCATTGTCTTTGTAGAAATAGCCAGGGATGAGTTGCCCAGTCTTGTCTCCTGTGCACATGTATCTGACATGGCTCTATGGCCTGGGTCTTGGGGCCTCAGACTATCATCTACTTGACATGGTCATAACAGCAGTAGCTAACCATATGGAGCATCATACTAACAAAGCACATTATGTAATTAAGTCATTTAATTATCACAAAAGAAGACACGGATTACAATGACTATCCCATTTCACAACTGAGTTAAGTGAGGCACAGAGAAGTTAATTTGCCAAGGTCACCACTAGTAAATTTGCAAAGTTGGGATTCAAATCCAGACAGTCTGAGTCCAGAGCCCACATTCTAAAGGCCTCTGCTATGTTGCCTCTCCTGTCCAATGCTTTTTTTTTATTTTTATCCTCACCCGAGGACATTTTCCAATGCTTTTTAAAAAATCCTCACCCGAGGACATTTTTCCATTTTTTGTTCAGGTAGAGCGGTAGAGAGCGGTAGAGAGAGCGAGACATCGACGTGAAAGGGACACATCAAGTGGCTGCCACCCGCACGACCCTGCTCAATCAGGGCCGGGGTTAAACTGCAACCAAGGTACATGCCCTTAGCGGGAACTGAACCCGGATCTCTCCGGACCGCAAGCCGACGCTCTAACCGCTGAGCCAAACCGGCCAGGGCTGTCCAATGCTTTTTTAATGTTAATTGGGCTGACTGAGAGAGGGTAACTGCCCAGTGTAGTGGAGCTGGGGAGAGGTGGCTACACTGAAAACCTTTAGGGTTCCCCAGGCCAGGTGGTGGGAGCTGAAAAGGGTGACACCTGGTATTTCGGGAGGGGAAAATATAGCCTTCACTTCTCCAACCCCAAATATCTGTTTCAGCGCTGAAGTGGTGCAGCTAGAGAACTCCCTCTTCCTACTCTGAGAGCCTGGAGGCAGGGAAAGGGCTGAAAGATCGGCCTGGAAGCCTGAGCTGGGAGTCAGAGCTATGACATCCAGAGGCCGATAGATGGCGCTCATGGCCCAACACAGCCTGGGCAGCCCTGAGAAACCAAAGGAAAACAAGCCAGCAGATTAACCCCTTACAGTCTGGGCTGTAGCCCCAGGAGCAGGCTGGTAGATGTCAGAGGCCGTGTCCCAGGACTGGCTGGCCCCTAGGGAGTGACCCAACTCTCTAGACTCTGTCCAGGCCACAGCCTGAGTCTGCTTCTGCTCATGTGTCACAAGACTCTATCCATAAATCAATCAGCCAGACACATGGAGATGTCCCAGAGGCCCAGGCGTCTGGGATATGGACCAAGCAGGTTGGGAGGGCCCGCCTCAGCCCAAGTTCATCTCTCAGGCTCTATCTCTTGAAAGTTAATGGGTATCTGTTTATAAGCAGTCCACACCATGGAAGTGTGGAGCTCCTCACTTTCATCTTCCCTCAGAGGGCTTCATTAGGTAGGGAGGAGTAGCATGGACTAAAGGCAGAGAAGGGCCCCAGGTCCCTCTGGGGTCAGCTATAGGGACTTACTGAGTTTCCCAAGACTCAATTTCCTCCTATGTCTGGACTCCTTATCTCTGGGCTTTCTAGGGTGAATGGGCTTACAGGGACTGAAGCAGTTATCTAAGTCTTCCAGAAAGTTGAAATTGGGGGTGGAGGTTCTGAGGATCTCCACTTGTCTGTCACTCATTTCAATCATTCTTGTCCTGTCAGAAGCAGACTTGAAGTGTAGAGGGGCTGCCATGATGAAAAACTGGATGTGCTTGGCAAGCAAGTGGCAGAGGGGTGGGGTGGGCAGGAGGGTTGTCTAAAGGGTGGTGAGGGTCCTAGAATTCTTAAACAATATTCCCCTTTCCACTAATTTTTGTTAAGAGTCACACAAGTACACAGATCTACAAAGATAGAGGGGGAGAGGGCATCAATTTTGGAAGCTCAGGATACTCTATTTCAGTCATTCCAGAGAAAGAAGGAGAGACAGGGAAATAGATGTACATAGAGAGAGACAGAGACACACAGATTACAAGAGACTAGGGATAGAGATACATTTACATGGGGGAGAGAAAGGCAAAGACACAGAGAGGAAGAGACTCTGACACAAATGAAAACTCAGGAAGTAATGGGCTTTGTGAGGAGGATGGTTAATTCAGTTCCCAAAGTCTTGCAAGGGTGGGAGGAGTTTCTCATCTTTGGTATCTGAATGTCACTGCTCAGTTTCCTGAAACTCCTGCTGCACCCATTAAATTTTTGTCTGTTGGTAGAGAGCAGGGAAGGCTTGGGAAGGGTGTAGCATCCTTGTCCTCTCACTTCTTCCTGTTCTGGGGTTTATTGGTCTCCTTCCTTATTACCTGCAGGAAGATCTTGCTTCTCCCTGATCTTAGTCATGGCTGTGCTAAAGTGTTTAGGGGATGGGGGTGGGAGGAATCTAGAAAATAACTGACTTCATGGGGTTCCAGTCTAATGAAAATCTTATAGGCAGGACACAGAAACAGACCCAGACAGAGGACAAGAACGAAACTAGGAGTAGGACAACTTTGCACATTGGTATTGGGTTGGGGAGGTGGGAGGGAATGAACCAATCCATGGAACTAGGATGGGTCAGGAGAGGTGTCCTGGACATAGTATTGAATGAGGGGGATTGGGAATGATGGGAGATTGTAGGGCTGGGCAAATAGCAGGACAGAAGAGGGGAAGACATCAAATGGTAAAGCCATGGAGACGGGCTGAAAGAGACTCAAAGCTATCACTAAGTTGTTAGAAGAGATGAAAGAAGTGCCTCTGTGGATGTTCTATATACAGTCCTTGGAGGGCTGCAAAGGAGAGGTCTCTTATACTTGAGGCAGCAGGAGGGCTAGACATGGTCTTTAGCCATTGCTAATTGGCTCAGGTGAGTTGAGAGGTTGGGGATGGTTGGAGCTCCTTGATTTGCAGTCCCTTTGGGAAAAGTGTGGTGGATGCGTTTTGGAAGGATGATGCCCTTTAGGGCTAGAACCCAGGATCTTCAAAGTCTTTACAAATCTTCTTGATTTAGCCCTGAAGTAAAGAATAAACTACAACCCCCAGCGACGTTTAGCGCTAATTTAGCACGCTTTTCCAGGATTTGAGCATTTCCGGCGGAAGTGGCCGGGGCTAGGCCAATCTCCTTCCTTAATCGTAGTAGACTACAATTCCCACTGTCCTCCGCGCGGGGGCGGGGAGAAGGAATCGGAAATCGAATGGGGAGCCGGACCAGGTGAGGAAGTATGAGACTGAGAACCTGGGGCGCCGGGGGCAGGCTAGGGTTAACAGGGTTCTGGGTCGGCCGCAGGCTGGTAGCCGTAATGTTTGTGTTTTGGGGCTCCTCGCACTGTTTGGGGTTCATCTTGGCGCAGGGAGCGCGGAGCTCATGGAAACGGCCCGGAGGCCTGTGGGGACGAGGCTCTCTTGTCGGGCTGAACCTGTGGGCGGACGCGGAGGTTTCTTATGGAGCCTTGGTCGTCTGCACCCTCGCAACCAGGAGCAAGGATGAAGTGGTATTTTTGAGTCCATGCTCTTTTATTTTTAATTATAATTATTGGTTTAAGGATTTGCTGTTTGACCCTGTGGATTGCCCATAATGGACAGGGCAGTGGAGAGTCTCTTCAATTCCTTCTTCACTTCCTGGGTTTATTGTCGGAAATCCTTCGTGGCCAGAATTGTCGCTGGATCACCCTCCGCTTCCACTGCACTTAATGTAATATGACACTATAATTTATAAAGTATCTATGTTTCTTAAGTCTCTAGCTCTTGATGACTTTAGATAGTACTTCCAAGTTCCTCTTTTGGTCTCTTACAGTATTTTGTTTGGGACAGTGAAGCTCCAACCACAGCTATTACAGTTGTTTATCAGTGGTCTTAGTGGTTTATGAGCCTGGCCTACATTTTATTTTTGGTTTCTTTCCCACCAAGAGACAGATTGTTACAGTATCTATCATGTAAGAGACTCATAAGTACTGAAAAAAAATAAATGAGGTAAGTACTGGTGGTAGGTTGGGTGAAATTTCTCATTTTCATTTCATAGATAGGACAGTTAAATGACTCTCTAAAAGAGAACCTTCTTAGAGTTGAAACCAGGACTAGAATTTGAGTCAAATGACACCCAGCCTGTGGCTCTTGCTATCAGATCAGGCTTTGAAAACCTGTGACACTGAAGATAAGGCCTTGTCACGTTGTGTACCCCCAGCCTTGCTGTCTCCAGCATAGGTCTCTAAAGATGAAAGGCAGGTCCAATATAAGGCTTAAAAGAGATCCCACATCTGGAGCAGCCACTCCACTAAAGTTGGTGCTATATGGGGAGATGCAAAGCAAGAACACCTGAGACATTTGAGTGCTCCGCAGCTTCCTTCCAACATGTATATGAGCCCAGTTGGCCCTGGGTAGCCACCTGGATATATCAGTTAAAGACTTCTGAGACCAGTCTGGGGAAGAAGTTCCTAAGTTTGACTCCAGATTTTTTTCTCTCTCTTTTCCTCCAGGCTAGGGTCAGAGAACAGGTTAATAGATTAAGCTGTTTTGTTAATCCTGAGTTCCTATCTGGGTTACTCTTTTTTTTTTTTATCCTCACCTAAGGACATTTTCCATTTTTTGTTCAGGTAGAGTGGGAGGGAGAGAGAGAGGGAGAAAAACATCAACGTGAAAGGGACACATCAAGTGGCGACACATCGAGTGGCTGCCACCGCAGCCAGGTTGCCAACCGGGGACAAACCAACCGAGGCATGCGCCCCCAGCAGGAACCAAACCCCGGGCTCTCTGGACCACAGGCTGATGCTTTAACCGCTGAGCCAAACTGGCTGCTGCTTTTTTTTTCTTCCCCTGGGTTACTCTTAACCTGGGCAAGGGGTTGAGAGAGAGCAAGAACCATGGTCTACCCTATGGGAGGTCCAGACGTGATGGAAACATGTCCTGGGAAGGCAGCAGAGTACATGTGGGCAGCTGAGCCTTCAGTGAATCTGGATTTGAAAGTGGAAAGGCTCCTTGCTGGAAGGTAAATTTAGACAGGGATGGCTAGAACTAAGCAGGTGTTTATTGACTACCTAATAAGAGCTAGGACCTTGGAGATATAGAGGGAAATTGAACAGTGAAGGCTCTGATCTCAAGTATGTTGTGGGGGAAGGTATGAATTCATGAAGAAGCCACTAACTGTGGTGACACACAGTTGTTCTCAGCCTTCATTAACCACCAGAAACACCAGAATCTTGTTAAACTTACAGATTCCCAGGCCATGTGCCAGACCTACTCATATGGGGGTGGGGCTGGGAAGCTATGGCACATGCTGCAGTGTGCTGAGGGAGGGCTTTACCAAAGGGGTATTTGAGTTGCATCTTTTTCTTTTTTTTTAGTTCTCACTGGAGGATTAAAAAAAATTTTTTTTTTCTTTATTGATTTTAGATAGGAAAGGAGAGGGAGAGAGAGAAACACCTATGAGAGAGAACATTGATTGGCTGCCTCCTGCATGCCCGGCACTGGGGATTCAGCCCACAACCTGGGAGTGTGCCCTGTCCAGGAATCGAACCAGTGAACTCTTGGTGCATGGGTCGACACTCAACCACTAAGCCACACCGGCTGGGCTGGAGGATATTTTTTACATTAATTTTCAGATAGAGCTGAGGGAGGGGGAGCGAGAGAGACAGAGACAGAGACATTGATGTGAGAAAGACACATCGACTGGTTGCCACCTGCACAACCCCAACCGGGGCTTGGGATGAACTGCAACCGAGGTAAATGCCCTTGGCCAGAATCGAACCTGGGACTCTTTGGTCCGTGGATGATGCTCTTACCGCTGAACCATACCAGCCAGGGCTTGAGTTGCATCTTAAAGGATGGGTATAATCTGGATGTGTGGAGAGTAGGGGAGTGTTTGTATAAATGGCATTTGCAAAATTTTCAGAGTTGGGGTAGGAAAGGCATTTTGAAAGTGTGAGTGGTATGGCCAGGTTGAAATACTGGGTTTGGCCCTGGCTGGTTTGGCTCAGAGATTAGAGCGTTGGCCCGTGGACCGGAGAGTCCCGGAGTCGGTTCCCGCTCAGGGCAAGTACCTCAGTTGCAGTTTGTCCCTGGCCCCAGTTGGGGTTGTGTGGGTGGCAACCACTCCATGTGTCTCTCTCACGTCGATGTTTCTCTCTCCCTCCTGCTCTATATGAAAAAAATGCAAGAATATCCTTAGGTGAGGATAAAAAAAAAAAAGAAAGAAATGTGGAAATACTGGGTTTGCATGGGAGTGTTTAGAAAAAATTTGGGAAGAAATGGTCTTTACAGGTTACAAAGCTTGCTTGAGTACTCCCTCTGCTTCTTTCCCCCTTTCTTCCCTCTCTTTCGCTTCTTCCTCCCTTTTCTCTCTCCCCCCTTACACATAACATCTCATTATATCTCTTATATTAATATTGTTTTTAAATAATTTTTTATTTTCTAATTATAGTTGACATACAATATTATATTAGTTTCAGGTGTATAACCCAGTGATTAGACATTTATATAACTTATGAAGTGATCACCCCAATAAATCTAGTACCCATCTGACACCCTACACAGTTATTACAATATTATTGACTATATTCCCTATGCTGTACTTTATATCCCCATGACTACCAATTTGTACTTAATCCCTTCATCTTTTTTACCATTCCCCCAACACTCCTCCCATCTGGCAACCATCAAAATGTTCTCTGTGTTTATGAGTCTATTTCTGTGCTGCTTGTTCATTTATTTTGTTTTTATTTTATTGTATTTATTTATTTTTTTGGTACGTGCCCCTAGCAGGAACCGAACCCGGGACTCTGGTCCTCAGGCTGATGTTCCAACCACTGAGCCAAACCGGCCAGGGCATTTATTTTGTTTTTTAGATTACACATATAAGTGAAATCACTCATATCAATATTAAGTTGATATTGTGTTTATTATTATTAATTTTAATATTATTGATTTTTTTAGAGAGAGGGGAAGGGAGATGGAGAGATAGAAACATCAATGACAGAACTTTTGTGTGCTTCCTGCACGCCCCCTACTGGGGGTCAAGCCTGAAACCCAGGCATGTGCCCTGACTGGGAATTGAATTGGTGACCTCTTGGTGTATCCAATGATGTTCAACCAACTGAGCCACACCGGCTGGGCAGGTTATTATTATTTTTAGTATTTGGATGAGGAAGTCAGAGACTGGCCATGGTTACATAGCTTGTAAGAGTCTTCTGAGTCTGGTAGTCATCCCAGTCTGCACTAAGGATTATTGAATGTGGGCAAGAAGCTGGACTGGGCTGGGCAAGTTGTAGAATAAGCAGGGTGGCTGATTAAACCATCTAAGCTTTAGGCAAGATGGTTTGGGTGATTGAGTGTCCAGCCTTGAGTCAGATAGTTTTGTTTCAAATCCCAGCTTCATGACTTGCTAACTGCATAACCCTGGGCAAGTTGTTGATCTTGCTAAGCCTCAGTCTTCTCACCTGTAACATGGGAGCAATAATATCCATCTCAAGGGGTTGTTACAAGTATCAGTGAGGTGTATGTGGCAGAGAGCACTAACCACCTGGAAGCTATTTGTAATTAGCCCTGTGTAATCAGTCTCTGAGCTGTGGCTTTGCACCTGCATCTCATTCTTCAGCACATTGATTTCAAGGACACAACTCATCCTGGCTGGGCTTGTTTTATTTATTTTTATTTTATTTTTTTAAATTTTTTATTGATTTTAGAGACAGAGGAAAGAAGAGAGAGAGAGAGATAGAAACATTAATGAGAAAGAACATGGATTGGCCACCTCCTGCATGCCCCTTACTGGGGATTGGGCCCACAACCTGGGCATGTGCCCTGACCAGGAATCCAACTGGCAACTTTTTGGTGCATGGGTCATTGCTCAACCACTGAGCCACACCGGCTGGGCTGGGCTTGTTTTATTAAAGGTGACATTAAAGGTGCTGCAATTTTGCCACCAGTAAATATTTATTGGAAACTTACCAAAGCTTGGCATGGTCTAGGAACTAGTGACTCAAGAGCTATGCCTGATAGAAAGGAGGTTTGGAATGGGGGGTGATTGGTTATGGGTTCTTCTCACCAGGTGGTGAATGGAGAGGAAGGATACTTAAAGCAGGGAGAGAAGGGGTCCTTTCATTACCAAGAACTGAGATGAGCTCAGTCTTGCTTGGAGGTTGGGGGATGACTCATACAGTCTCTTCTGAGCCTAGGACAATGTAGGGGGGCCCTGGTCAACCTAGATCCCTCCCACTGTAGGGCTGAGGGGGCCTCTGTTCATATCTTTCCAGGTGACGGTGACATGGCTGTGCCCCAGGCTTTCCCCCTGGGACCCCTCCATGAGCCTGCAGCTGCTCTGGTGGAGTCCCAGCCCTGCCCTCAAAGCTTGGCTGAGGGCTTCCTGGAGGAGGAGCTTCGGCTCAATGCTGAGCTGAGCCAGTTGGAGTTTTCTGAGCCCGTGGGCATTATCTACAATCCTGTGGAGTATGCGTGGGAGCCACATCGCAGCTACGTGACTCGCTACTGCCAGGGCCCCAAAGAAGTGCTCTTCCTGGGCATGAACCCAGGACCCTTTGGCATGGCCCAGACTGGGGTAAAGGGCTTGGCTGCCCTTGGTGGGTGGAGTGGGAGGCTCCAATATGGATGCTTGGCTGCTTGTGCTGTGGAGAAGCATGTGCATGGCTGTGCACTTGTGTGGGTGTGCAGGACTCCTATCCCCTCCCAATACGCAGACTGGCTCCTGTGGGTCTCAGACATTCTCCTGGCCTCGCTACCCATAGTTAACCAAGGACATTAATGGTAGTTCCGTTTCCCCTGTGAGTTGTCCACTAATTGCCTCTGAGAGCCCTTCCTTCCGCCAGCCTCATCCTTACCTTGCCGGATCTCCTCTCTCCCTAGAATGTGGTTGGGATCAGGAGAGGGACCAGGACTACTGGGTCCTCAGGAGAGATCGGTTGACGGGTAGGTATGGAATCGATGCAGGATATTCAGGCAACCTGCGTTCTGTTTCTTTGCTGAGGAGAGATTCAGAACAGCCAGGCTCCAGGGCCTGTCTGCTTATCTTTCAGACCTCAAGATGAGTGACTGCCCCTTGACAGGTGGGGGAGGGAAAGAGGCTTCAGGGCAGGAGGCTCAATCGCTTTTATTGACCCCAACGGGGGGATGAAAGGTGATCAATGATGATCGATGGAAATGACAGCCTGAGGCTTGGGGCTGAGAGGGCACCCAGAGAGCAATGGTCAGCCCTTTCCTTGTGCCTCCCTTAACTGTGGTGGCCTTTCTGTCTCAGACCATCGGTTTGTCCTCAGTAATACTCATTACACCCTATGAAGGGCCAGATATCCCTGTGTACTCCCTGTACATAGTCCCACAGACTAGTGGGGGCAAACAAATAGATTCTTTTGGACCACAGACTACAATGAAAAATTGGAGAAAGAGGGACAGGATCAAACCACAAGGCCAGGAATCCTTGTCTCAGGCCTTTGGGTGAAGGTGGCAGGGTGTGTGGGTGTGTGTGTGTGTGTGTGTGTGGGTGTTCAGGCTAGATTCTCATGGAGAATGAAAAGGGGTCAGTTGGTCCAGAGATCAGGTGTCAGTTCTCCAGTTTGAAGTCCTCATGTCTCTCTCCTTCTCCATAGGTACCCTTTGGGGAAGTGAGTGTAGTCCGGGACTGGTTGGGAATTGGGGGCCGTGTGCTGACCCCTCCCCAAGAGCATCCTAAGCGACCAGTGCTGGGACTGGAGTGCCCACAGTCAGAAGTGAGCGGTGCCCGGTTCTGGGGCTTTTTCCGGAACCTCTGTGGGCAGCCAGAGGTCTTCTTCCGTCACTGTTTTGTCCACAATCTGTGTCCTCTGCTGTTCCTGGCTCCCAGTGGGCGCAACCTCACTCCTGCTGAGTTGCCTGCCAAGCAGCGAGAACAGCTTCTTGGGCTCTGTGATGTGTCTCTCTGCCGGCAGGTGCAGCTGCTGGGGGTGCAATGGGTAGTAGGAGTGGGGCGGCTGGCAGAGCAGCGGGCGCGGCGGGCTCTGGCTGGCCTGATGCCTGAGGTCCAGGTGGTGGGGCTCCTGCACCCCTCGCCTCGGAGCCCACAGGCTAACAGGGGCTGGGAGCCACTGGCCAAAGAGAGACTGAATGAGCTGGGGCTACTGCCACTGCTAATGAAATGAATGCCTGGGGTTTGGCTGAGACACATTCAAGGCCCCCAAGTTCTTGGGCAAGCAGATGACTACACGCCTCTTGGACTGGAGCAACAAGGTCCTCCTCAGCTGCCTGGTTGCTGGGACCTGCCATGGCACTTTTGACACTACTCCGGCTTGCCCTCCTGATTCCTGTTTTCTCCTTTCTTTGAGGATTGCCTCTTTGGTCCTGTGGTACCTAACTCCACAGAGAAGCAGCACCTGCAAACTGCTTATTTCACTGTTTCTTTGGGAGCCTCTATTCAGCTGAGAGTGACCTCCAAGGTCATGTTTGCTGTTCTAGAGAGAAGATCCTGCCAGGACTCCTACCCAGTCTCATAGAAGTGTCCTTCAGCCGACCCCTTTCCTCACAAGGACTGGACAAAGCATGGGAAATGGGTATTAAGAATGAACTTATGGAAGACTGAGGCTGGATCAGAGAGAGAAAGAATTCAGTGTGGCAGAGTGGGAAGTCTTGAAGACCTTTTGAGACTTGTGAACTTTATGACTTTGGGCATGTCAGTTAACCTTTCCAAGCCTCAGGATCCTCATCTGTAGAATGGAGATCCCCACCTCATGGGTTGGTGTGGGGATTAACTGAGATACTACTTAAAGTGCCTTGTATGGTGCCTGGCACATGGGTGTTCATTACACCTCTTTTCTTGCCTCTGGGTTGGGGAGTCACTGCACTACAAGGGAAGCCCTTCCACTTAAAGGCCTTGCTGAGCAGTTGGGTGAGTGGGGGAGATGTCTCGGCCTCCACCTGTGACCTAGGTGAGGGCAGACTTGCCCTGCCAGAGATGGATCAATGACTATGAAAAACCCAGCCTGTGATTTTTTTAGTCTAAGCATTAAAAGTTCCTAAATCCTTTTGTGTTGGTGTTTTTTTCCCCCTCCTGAATGTCAGGTGTGGAAGGTGGTGGTTTAGATTTCCCCCTCTTACCTCTTCACTGTTCGCAAAGGTTTCTCTTAGGTAGTTGGGGGATGATGTAAACAGATCTCCAATTGTCTTAGCAAAGCAGCAAGGTCTCTGTGAGGAGCCTGCCCAGTGGCTTGTCTGCTATTCTGGGCACTCTGGGGAGAGGTGATGGGTGGATGGGAGCCTGGTATCTCCAGCTAACTCATTTTGTATGTCTCTTGCTTGCATGGCTGGTTGGTGTGCCCATTTGGTAAGGGTTGGTAAAGTGCATCAAGTTGGGAGCAGAGAAGGTCTTGAGATCACCTTAATGAGGAACATATGAATTCTCCTGCAACAGGTCATTTCCAGCTTTCAAGATTAAGATTTTTAGTATAAGAGTCTGAGTCTCCCCCATTCTCCCCACCCCACATTGTATAATAAAGAATTTGACTGGTCTTTGTCCTTGGTTCTTTGGAGGGAGCCTCTAAATCCTTGGAATTTCCCAAGTGATAGGAATTTCTTTATTACTCATGGTGGATCCCTCACACCACACCTGAGTTTATGATGAAGTTTGACTCAGGATGAGAGTGACCAGGAAGACCAACCATGTGATTAGAGGGTTGGGGCTTTGAGCCAGGTGATATCAGCCTGGGGGTGGGAGTGGGGGCTAGAGATTGAGTTCAACCATGTGGTCAATGATTTCAATCAATTGTGGCTGCATAATAAAACCCTAATAAAAACTCAGGACAGAGACTTTGGTGAGCTTCCTGGTTGGTGGACCCATGGATGTGTTGGGTGGGTGGTGTGTCGATACTGGGGAAAGGGCATGGAAGGTGTGTTTGGGATCTTCTCAGATCTTGCCTTATATATCTGCTCATTTGGCTGGTCTTGATTGGTATCCTTTATAATAAACCAGTTGTAAGTAGAGGGCTTTACTGAGTTCTGTCAGTCATTCTAGCAAATTATTGAACCTGAGGGAGTCGTGGGAACCCTTGAATTTGTAACCAGCTAGAAGCATAGGTGGCTTGGGACCCCTGAACTTGCAGCTGGCATCTGAAATGAGGGCAGTCTTATTGGGGACTTTGTCCTTAAACCTGTAGAGAGAGTATGGGATAACTCCAGGTAGGTAGTTAGCATCAGAACTGGATTAGTTTTGCACCCTCACATGCCTTAGATGTCTTTTCCTCTCTGCTGTCAGTGCTCTAGTGGTAAGTAGTCATTTACCCAAGTTGCAGAGCACTGGACTAACTTCATAAAGATAGTTCCCATACGTATTTAGCTGAGGCAGTCAGGGAAAGCTCTTTGGAGGAGGTGGCATTTCAGGTGACCTTAGTGGGAAAGTTTTGGAGAGCTTAGAGAAGAGCATTGTTATGTTCAAGGGGTGGCAAGTAGATTAGCATTGACTTGACCCAGTTGGGAGGAAAAGCTGGAGAGGAAAGTTGGGGACAGCTTATGAAGGGTCTTCAATGCTAGATTAATATTAGAGAATTTAATTTTTGTTTTTTTTTAGTCCCCACCCCAGGATATTTTCCCATTGATTTTCAGATAAAGCAGGAGGGAGGGAGAGAGAGGGCAAGGAACATAGATGTGAGAGAGAAACATCAATTGATTGCCTCCCTCAGGGTCCTGGCCAAGGCCGAGGATTGAACCTGCAACTGAAGTACATGTCCTTGACTGAGAATCAACCCTGCAACCTCTGTTCTGCAGGCTGATGCTCCAACCATTGAGCAAACTGGCTAGGGCTAATCAGAGAATTTAAAGTCCAGTTGGGGAAGTGAGATGCACAGAAAACACCCAACAATACGTGGAAACCTACAGATGGCAGTCACTATCCTTGGAGTGCATCTTGTCAAGGAGAGGCTGATTAGGATCCCAGCAAAGCCTTTTCCCAAGGGCACTGTATTAGTCTACTGCCATAACAAAAATACCAGACTGGGTGGCTTAAACAACAGATTTATTTTCTCATGGTTCTGGAGGCTGGATGTCCCAAATGCAGATATCTGTAGGTTTGGTTTCTCCTGAGGCTTCTCTCTTGGCTTGTGAATGGCCACCTGCTCCGTGTCCTCCTGTGACCTGTTTTGTGTGTGCACCTCCCTGGTAGCTCTTTTGCATTCATCTTCAGATAGAGTGAGAGGAAGAGAGGGAGGAAGAGAGAGAGAGAGAGAAACATCTATGTGAGAGAGACACATCGAGTGGCTGCCACTTGTACAACCCCAACCGGGCCAGGGACAAACTGCAACCGAGGCACGTGCCCTTAATGGGAACCGAACCCAGGACTCTCTGGTCTGTGGGCCAACGCTCTAATTGCTGAGCCAAACCGGCCAGGGCTGTAACTCTCTTCCTATAAGGACACCTCTCATATTGGATTAGGGTTCCACCCTATAACCAACCGCACTTAACTTTAATTACCTCTTTAAAGGCCCTAACTCCAAACATAGTCCCATTGGAGATTAGGGCTTCAACATATGACCGGAGGGAGGGCACAATTCAGTCCATAATAGGTACCTAAAGTCATGTCATTGCTTTTTCTATCTCCCACAAATATCAGTCTAACAAACGAGAGTACTCAGGAGTGCTTTTCTTCAGTCTAGGGGTGTTGAGGCTGGTGAGGGAGCCTAGCTAACTGACAGGACTTAATCCACCAGACTTGCCCCTTCCCCCAATTCATTCTAGAGCAGTTTCTTCAGTATAAATAAGTGTCCTGCCCTGGCTGGTAGCTCAACGGTTAGAACATCAGCCCACACACTGAAGCATCATGAGTTTGATTCCCGGTCAAAGGCGTGTACTTGGGTTGCAGGTTGGATCCAAGCCCCGGTTGAGGCTCCTGTGGGAGGCAACCAATCAACAAGTCTCTCTCACATCATTGTTTCTCTCTTGCTCTCTCTAAAAAACAAACAAAAAACAAAACAAAAAAGCATACCCTTGGATGAGGATTTAAAAAAAGAATGTCCCTAGGGAAGGGAAGCTCATAGCTTTCTCCTGAGCTGAAGGGAATGGATACTTCAGCTGTTACAAATGTATTTTAAAACCAAGTTGAAGTGTTTTGGAATAATCTAGAGTTTTATAGTCCAATATAGTAGGCACTAGCCACATGTAGCTGTTTAAATTGATTAAAATAAGTAAAATAAAAAGTTCAATTCCTCAGTCATTTAGCCATATTTCAGGTGCTCAATAGCCACCTGTGGCTAGTGGCTACTGATTGGATGGCACAGATAGGGAACATTCCATCATTGCAGAAAGTTCTATTGGACAGCTCTGATCTAGAGATCAGTGGCTTACAACCCTGCCTGTGAATCAATTCACCTGTGGAAGTTTAAAAAGAAGACAAGTGTCACTTGGCTGGTGTGGCTCAGTGGACTGAGGATCATCTTATAGACTGAGAGGTCCCAGTTCAGTTCCCAGTCAGGGCACATGCCTGGGTTTCAGGCTTGATCCCCGGGGGGGGGGGGGGGGGGCATGCAGGAGGCAGCCAATTATGTTTCTCTCTCTCATCAATGTTTCTATCTCTAAAAAAAAAAAGAAAAGAAACAAACAAACAAAAAAGACAAGAATCTTAGCTCCACTTAAGAGATTTTGATTTGGGAGATCTGAAGTGCAACCTGGTATCTATTCTCTGTGTACTGTGGATATGCAGCCAAGATTAAGGCAGGCATCAATAAATATTTGTTGAATTGAGAAAGGGAAAAGAAGGACCGCACAATGGTCAAACTCAAGACTCAGTCTTTCATTGAGCCATCCTGTTTCAGTAAGGGAAAAAAGAGTAGGAAGAGTCTCTTTCTTCCTCAACACATTCCATCCCTCAATCTCAGGTTGCACTGCATTAGTGCCTTGAAGGCAAGAAGTGGGTCTCTTATCTTCCTTTCCCCAGTATGCAACCCCATACCTGGCACAAAGTATGTGTTCAGGACAAATGTGCAAGCAATGAATGAATCTTGTTTTGGAGATCTACCCCAAGATGCCCATGCAATAACATGAGTGTCCTCAGAATTTGTTGCTTTTCCCCCGAGATGGTGATTCAAATTCTGGTTCAGAGGAGTGATAGAAGCTTAAAAAATCTCACCCCAATATGCACGTGTGGGTGTGCATACATGTACACACACATATACACACTCAACTTGATAGAGGCCAAACTGTGCTTGGGGCAGGAGTGGTTCTGAGATTGAGGGATGGAATGTGTTGGGGAAGAGAGAGACTCTTCCTACTCTTTTTTCCTTTACTGAAACGGGATGGCTTAATGAAAGATTGAGTCTTGAGTTTGACCATTGTGCGGTCCTTCTTTTCCCTTTCTCAATTCAACAAACATTTATTGATGTCTGCTGTGTGTTATTCCCCATGCTAGGCACTGTAGGTAGTGACAGAGGTGAATTAGGTGGTTCTTCGCCCTCACGTTGTTCACTGTCTGGTGCTGGGAGATACAGGCATATAATTATAGTATAAATCAAATGGAAAACGTGAGGTGAACAAGTTCTAAACACAGCACTCTGGGCACACTGACTGAGGAAGTGATTAGCCTTCAGAATGTGGGTAGGAGATGTGTGTGCCTGTGAGACAGGGCGGTGATTGGCGAGGTCTCTCATCACTTGCTCACTCTTGCTACTTCCATGAAGTGGCTCTTCAAAAAGGGGGGCCACCGTGTCATATCTCTCCAAGAATTTCTAACTGCAAGGGGATAGAAAACAGGATGAAAGAAGGAGCTCTGGGGCCAGGAATTGGCAGAAACCAAGGGTTGGGCGTGGCTCTATGGGAGACAGGAAGTGGGGCTTCCTCTTTGATCTCTTATTCTGTGAACCTCTGGGATGGAAAACTGCAGTAGGTTCTGTCAGGGGGTGTCCAATTGCTGGAGCCAAAAAAGACCAGAAACTTAGCCTGGGCATAGCTGCGCAGAGAAAATAAATGGAATGGAGGGAGTGAAAAAGATTGTGGCCCAGCAGAGACTAAATCTCTTCTCTTCAAATATTCTTGTTTAGGAGGATGCAGGCCAGCTGTTTTCTATTTTTTCCTAATGCCACAAAGAAGAAAATAATTTCAATTGGAGCATGAGGCATTGAGGTTAGACACATGAATAAACTTCCCAGCTATGACCATCAGGTGATGCAGAAATAAATTGCTTTGGGGGAAACTGAATTGCTTTCTTCTACAGAAGCCTTAATGCCAGTCTGGCCCCAGCCCCAGCTTACCAGTCAAGATTGAATAATAATTTATTTGGGGGAAACTTTCCCTCCCTGTTTTGTTTTGTTGTGTGTGTGTGTGTTTTACATAAATGCTTTATTAACAGTGGAACAGCTTTCCCATGGGCCATGTGGTCCACCCAGACATCCAGCCAAGACCCAGGCACAAATTCAGCGCAGCCTCCTAGCCTCTCACTCTGACTCCAATAGAGTGAGCACGTCGCCCTCGCGCACGGGGCCTTTCACGTTGCGGATGATGGAGCGGCTCGTGTCGTTCATGAATTCCACGCGCACCTGTGTGCGCTGTCCCTGGGAACTGGTCCTGTTGAGCACCGCGGTGACCCTGGCTAGCTTGATAGGCTGCACATGACTCGTGTCCATGATGGCTGCATCCCTCCCTGTTTTGACCCACATTCTGTTAAAAACAAAACAAAACAAACAACTGTAATAAAAATTTCCTGCATATTTTCTTATCCATTCTTCTGCCCCTCTATCCCAGCTCAAGACTCAGTCTGATGTCAGTCCCTAGGCCTAGCTTGCAGAGGGGGTGGCTGAGAGCCCAGAACAGTCCTGCATGGTATAGCCTGTGCCAAGTCGGGTTGCCATTTCCATTTTCGTTAATTGAAGCAGCTTGACCCTTATCATTTCAGGCCAGCAATTTCCTGTCTGCCGGTTGGGAGTGTGCGGAGGACATGCCTCAGCAGGTCATTCTGTCCTTCCATCTATCTTGATGGTGCTAACTAACTCCTCTTCCAGGCTGCAAAAAATGGCTCTCCTATTGCAGTTGATAGGGGAGAAGCCCAGCTTCACACAAATGCCCCAGCTTCACCTATCGGGAACTCAAACTTGATGTCTTCTTAGAACGGCTTTCCTGGTGTCTACCCTCAAGCCTACCTGTTATAATTTTGGCTCAGTTTTGTTTGTTTCTTTGTTCAGTTTTAAGAAACTTGATGACTGATGCAGTTGCCTCTCATAACCTCATCAGATGGTACTTTCTGCTGTGGCCTGGAAGGGAACAAGATGTTTTTGAAGGAAAGTTTTGCCTCCAACCCTGGAAGGGCACACAGTGGAGCAATTGGGGTGTGATGGCTTTGCTCTGAGTGTGAGAGTGAATGTGTGTTTTGCTCCTTACCTAACTTTGAGGAAGATCTGTGTGTGACCCTGTGAGGTCATTGAGTTAACATGATGTGCTGTGTGTGGTGGTGTCACTTTGTAAGAACCATAATAAAGGGCAGGGTGATGTATTCCCTCTGGAGTGTGGATCTCCAGTGTATTAGATGAATTTGTGTGTTTTTGTGATCCATGGGGATCTTTTTTGTCTCTGCATTTTTTTAAATCTCCCAGATGGACACTTGTGTAATTTAGTTTGACCCATTTTTGCTGCTGCTGTGTCTTTGTGTCTGTAGTATTTTTGTGTAGCCCTGCGTTTTCATGCATCTTCAGGGGACTTGTGTCTTTCTGAGTGTCCTCTGGCTTGTTGGGGAGGGGAGAGCAGAAGAAGGAGCCCAGACACGAAGGGGAGCCCAGACACGGGATGGCGGGAGCGTGTTGGGAGGGGTTGCGCTGCAATCTGTGACTTGGAAAACAGATTTGCGGAGGAGGCGAGCAGCGCGGGCGTGCGGAGCATGCGGGGCGGGGGCGGGGGCCGCTCTGGCCCCCAGCTCCTCCGCAATCCAATTAAATAACATTTAAATGCATAACCAGCCCGCGCGGCGATGAGGCTGGAGATTGGAGCGGGCGCGGCGGCGGGCCGCGCGGGCGGCGTTTTGTGGAGCTCAGCGATTCTGGCGGCAATTTCCCCGCTCCGCGCGGCTTTTACGAGCCGGCTCCCGGCGCCCGCCCGCTCCGCTGCGCCCGCCCCGTGCCCGCCGCTGCCCGCCGCTCCCGCCTCCACTCTTTTTTCTCTCTCGCCTTCTTTGCAGCCTTCTGGTCTGTCCGTGTGCGTGTCTCTCCCTCCGTGTCTGTGTCTCTGTCTCTGTCTCTGTCTCTGTTTCTCCATCTCTTTGGGTAGCCTCTGCCTCCTTTCCTGTCTGGCGGCTCCGCATCTCTTTCTTCTGGTCTGTTTCTGATTCCCTCTGTCTTGCCATCTGTCTGTCTGTCTCTCTCTTGCATGTCCTGTCTCCAGCTCTGCCATCTGTCAGAATTTGCTTCTCTCTCCATTTCTGCCTCTAATTGTGATCCCTTTCCTGGCTGATGGCCTCTCTGCTTCTCTCTAAATCACCATCTCATTAAGGCTTCTGTTTATCTTTGCTTCAGGTGTTTTGTTTTTATACCTCTCTGGCCTCTGCATCCTTCCCACCCCCAAACCCTTCCCCACAAGTCAACTTGCCTTTCCCCAGGACTCAGAGGACTGTGGCTGGGCCGTTATGATCTCATCACACCAGCCTTCATTCCTCACATTGCCTCCAAATGTGTGCTAATGGGAAGGGCAGAGGAAGGAAAGGAAGTATAGGTTAAGAAGAGGTGGAAGTGTGTGGACTTGATGGGCTCAGGCCCAACTGGCCGATGCTGGAAATGAATGTCATGAGTGCATGATTAGAAGAGACCTAGTCTTCCTCACATCCTTTGGGAGCTGAGCACATCCAGCGCCAAGGGACTGAGGTGTTTTCTTCTCAGGAGGTCCTGGAGGGACATGTTATCATCAGAGCTTGTGGCTCTTCTAAGGGCCGGATGAACCAGCGTGGGGCAGGTCACCCATAAGGAGGAAGACAGAGAACGCGAAAGGAAACATTTTATTTCTTATGTGGGATCAGACTCCACTGTCTCCTCTTCTTCTTCACTCCCTTTCTTATCCCTGCTCAGTCCCCTCAACATATGGAGCCTGCCATTTACCAGATGCTCCATGCCCATGCAGATTCTGGGGGAGAGCATACCTGACAAAGAGAATAGCAAGGGCAAAGGCCTGATGTGAGTGTGTCTGGTGTGTTGGAGGAACAGCCATGAGGCTGATACAACTGGAGCAGAGACAGTAAGGGAAGAGAGGTGATAGGTCTAAGAGGTCATGAGAACTAATGACTAATAAGTCACAGTGAGTCTTTAGCTTTCACACTAAGATGAGGAGTCACTGGAGGGTTTTGAACAAGGGAGTGGCATGATCAGCCATGTATTTTTACAGAACATTCTTACTGTTTTATTGAGACTAGATTGAGAAAACAAGGTAGACCAGTTTGGAGCCGATTGCAGTACCAAGTAAGAGATGTTGGTGACCTGGACAGGGAGGTGACAGTGGAGGTGGTGATGAGTGCTCAAATTCTGGATATACTTTGCAGAGAGAGCCAGGGATTTGCTGATGGGACAGATGGAGGGTGTGAGAGAAAGAGTGGAGTCAGGATGAGACCAAGAAATTTAGCTTGAGTGATCAGAACCATGAAGTTGTCATAGATTAATATGGGGAATACTGTAGAAGGAGCTGGGTTTTGGGGGAGTCAGTTTTGGACATGTTAGGTCTGAAATGCTTGTTTAAACATCCAAGTAGAGGTATCTAGTAGGCAGATTGATACACATGTTTGGAGTTTAGTGAAGTAAGTTCAGACTGGAGATATAAATTTTGGAGTCATGAGTATTGAAGGAAATCCCTTAAGGAGTAAGCACAGATAGAAATAAAGGATCATTCATTGATCAAGTCCAGGTATTTTAATAGTTGGAAGTTGTGGAGTTGTAAACAAACAAACAAAAAATGCTGAGACATCTGAGAATAGGGTATGGTGGGCTCTTCTTGGATTGATCATTTTTCATTCCCAGCCACCCTGGTGGACAGACCCTCATAGGTCCAAATTTACATGGTCCCAACACACTCACTGGACCTTGGCTTCATTCTCCTCCAAACTCTATACATCAGCCAGACTGACCACCTCAAGGAAACGACTTACATGGGCTCCTGAAGCTCAGCATTCTGGTCTTAGAGACAGGGAAAGAGAATTGGGGCAAAAAAGGACCTCAAGATCTTGATTTATCAATAGAGAAACTGATGCCCTGAGGGACAGTGACTTGTCCAAGGTCCCTCTGCCAGTAGGTGGCCAGCGCTCCCAAGGCATAGTTGAGTGCTCTTTATAACATGCCTCACTGCCTTTTGGATCACTTCTCAACAAGCAACAAATAATACTGAGTAGCTGAATATACGCTCTGTGTGCAGAATAGCAATGGAGGTCTCTAAGGAGTACAGTGGAAACAATTCTTGCCCTCAAAAAGCTTGAACTAAGAACCCCCTAAATGATTTTTCCATTCTTTTCCCATCTCTTTACTTTGATTCCTTGTGACTTCCCAACATGGAATCTCTTCTTCCCTCATTTTATGCCCTAGGTCTTTCCTTCTCTTCAAACCTTGCTCCAACCCTTTCTTCCAGGACTCTCTCCAGATCACCCGGATTACCCTAATCCACTAGGTAGCTCAGACCCCACACCCACGGGTCTCTAACTCTCTTTTCCTAATCTCTCATACCCAATCCATATGCAAGTTCTATCAGCCCTGTCATCCAAATGTATCCCAAATCTGACCACATCTCACAATCTCCACTTGTACAATACTAGCCAAGACACTGTCTTACTTGTACTGCTGACCACAACAGCCCCCTGACAGCATTTCATGCTTGTCCCCCTACAGTCCATTCTCTACATAGCAATCACTTTCATTCACCTGAAGTCCCCAGGCTGTCTCCTGAGTTTGTGTGCTTCTTACTATTCCTTTGTCCTTCAAACTAGCCTTGGTCACTTTTCCCCAAGGTGTGACCTATCTTCTCTCCTCTGAGCTCCTGGGGTGGAAGGTGCTGGAGGGACTGGGGCTTTCCTCTGTTCATGGGAGTGCTGGAGTTGGGAGAGGGGACATCATGCAATCCTGGAGGGAGCACTCAATGAGGGGTGGTCAAGAAGTAGGATCAGGTATATCTGTGAAGAGCCTGGAAACACTCAGGGAGTCTGTCTTAGACTCTCATGTCCTCATTTCCGGCTTCTCTGTTTCTTCCTATTCTGCATTCTCCTTTGTCTTCATTGTCCCTTTCCTTCTGTCTCTCTGACTAATTCTCTGTCTTTGAATTGGGGGGTGGGAGGGATTTCTTACCAGCCTCGGGGTCTTAAGAGATTCCCCAATCAAATGCACCCCTGTTCTTGATCCAAGCCTCCCTTTCACTCTGGGGAGCTGGGCTGGGACACCCTGATGAGGAACACTGATCTCATTCTCTCCAGCTGGTCTGATTAGTCATCATTTTATCCCCAATGCACTCAGGAGGTGCTTTTAAAATACTTATTGTAAGGATGGATGAATGAATGAATGAATGAATGAATGAATGTCTTAGGCATTCAGCTTCCTTGTTGGGCCCCTGGCCTGGCCTTTCTGATTCTTTAAACTAATGCTTTCAAACTTTAATGTGTACATGAACCACCTGGGAA